GTCCTTGCACTGGGGAGGCATCTGGAGGTCTTTTTTCCAAAGCCAGTTTTCCAAAGAATGTTCCAGTCACCTCCCTCGGGGGATGGGCTCCGGGCATCCTGGGAGCAGGGCAGGCACCTGTGGGGAAAACACTACCGGGGACAGAAGCTCACTTTACCCCCTGCCACCTGCTCGCAGACCTACACAGAGCCTCACAGAGCCTCGCAAGCCTCACAGAGCCCTCTGCTCTGCCTGGTGTCCCCAGGTCTGGAGCATAGCTGGTTTGATTCCTCCAGAGAAAAAATGTCCAGTTCCCTCCAAAGACATGAGACGATAAAGAGAAATTTCCTGGCTGTGCAGAGAAGGGGAGGAGGCTGGGGCCTGGTTCTCCTGTTTCCCACCTGGTGCAGGGTCTCAGCCCCCATCACGCGGGGACCTCCCACTCCCAAGCCTCTCAGGCGGGGCTGCTCAGCGCATCCCCAGTTTGTCTGTCCCCCTCCTCAGCTTCCATCTGCCAAGGCTTTTCAAATTCTGTTTACTGATGTCTCCTCCCACGTTCACTGCTGATAACCTTTCCAGTCCTTTCCCCATCAGGGTGGCAGTGTTTGGGGAGTTAAAGAGATAAATGTATGTGGTCGATATGGTTTGTTTAATGAGAAGACGTTTTCTTTCAAAAATCTAATTCTATTGATTCAGTATTTATTTTTTTTAACTTCCTGATGGTAGCTTTTTTTCCTGATAAACATTTATTATTGATTTCTAGTTTTATTGCTTCAAGGCACAGAATGTGGCCCCAGCTGTGCCTTTGGCAACTTTCTGAGGATTTCACGTCTCAATATATAGTCGACTTTGGGTAATGTTCCAGGCATACTCAGAAAGAAGGTATGCTCTCTAGGGCAAGAGCAAGGTATCCCTGCTTATTAAACATTATAAATTTTTAAAAGCCTCGGGGTTCTTAGTGTCTCCTTGATCTGTAATAAACTAACAGCAGTGGTGCGTTAGTCTCAAAGGTAATTGTCCTTCTGTTGATTTTTTCCTTTGTATTTCCAGTTTTTGCTTTCTATTTGATGCTACTTAATGCACACATGGAGGTTCACAGCTTTTGTACGTTTGTTACAGATGCCCTCTGTCAACATGACCCGTGCCTCATCCATAGCCACTTCCTGGCATCCTATGGTGTTTAAGTGGTGCTGCCCAGCAGAGGAATGGCGGTGCTCGATCTTGAGGGACAAGGACAGAGGTACAGAAGCTCTAAGGGGGCCCACGGGTCTGGCAACGAGGTGGCAGAGGTGTGGGAGGAGGAGATGGGTGATACTGGCCTGGAGAAAAAAGGAGGCGAGGAGATGGAGACGGGGTCCCCTAGCAGCACACCTTAAGGCTGGCTGAAGGGGAGAGAAGAAAACCCAGCCCGGAGCAGGTGAGCAGCCCCGGTGCCGTGGGAAAGAGCCGCGGGGCTGCCGTTTTAGGAATGATGACGGCAGCAAGGGTGAGGCTAGGGCGCCAGCCATTCTCTCTGGGAATCCTGGACAGCCAGGGACCTGTGCCGGTGAGAGGCCGTGGTCTCCACCGGGGACCCGCCGACACATCACTGCCCCCATCGTAGCCGGGACCCTGTTACCTGTGTCCCCTCCGAGGGGCCGGACTGGGGCCTGCACATGCCCCCTCTCAGCCTTGGGTAAAAAGGATGGCGCTGACCCCTGCCTGGCTCCTGCTGAATCGGCCCCCGTGCGTGGGTACAGCCGAAGGGGTTTGGGGGCTGCTTTGTTTCAGAGGCCCTGGGTGGGGCCTTGCAAACGGGTCTGGCTCGTGAGAGCCCCATGAGTTGGGGCCTTCCAGGCATTCGAAGTTTCGTTTAGCCAGCTCAGCCTTGACCTGCTGGTGACATGGACCAAACTCTCGCCCCTACCCTAGAGAAGGTGTCTGACATAGAGCCTGGCAGGAGATGGTGTCTGCTGCAGGAAGTGCAGGGGCCACACCATCCCCCTGGGGCTGGGGAACCAGCAAAGGACTTCCTTCGGAGCTTATCGGAGCCCAGGAAGGGCCCTGAAGAAGGCACTGCTCCACTCTCTAAGCGGAGAGACCCCAACCTTGCTGGAGGAGACAGTCTCAGGTCCCTCGGTAAGCCGAGACCACCATTACCCCCGTTCTAGGGGTCTCCCCTGTCCACAAGTACCACCAGGGTGAACTCCGTGTTGCTGCCCCTTGGTGAAGGACAATATAGGCCCACAACTCAAGAGTCGCCCCTGGAAAATCTCCTGAGACACAGCTGAATGGAGGCGAGTCAGGCTTAAAATAGCTAAATAAATCTTTAATATTTCTAATTGCAAATGTACAGAAATTGCACAGCCACACAGTCTTAGAACACCAACAACTTTCTCTGTACATTATTACATAGTTAAAAGTCACAGCTGGAAGGAGGAGCTCCAGCCAAGACTCCAACGTTTGCATTTTTTTCTTTTTCACATACTTACAAAAGGGGGAGCAAGGAGGTGGTGTGGGGCTGGGGGCGGCTTTGGGGCCAAAGGTGTAGAAAAGAGGGGCTGTTTCCCTGGACAGCCTGCCTTCCGCTGGGCGGGCGGCAGGGAGAGAGGCGTACCCCGGGGGCAGATGCTCCATGGGAGGGGGGGTGGTGTGTGGAGCTCTGGCCTTGGTTCCCCACCCCCCTTTCTGGGCAGTCGGAAAAAAGTCTTCACTCATAGGAAGTTTGGCAGTTTCCTTCACCCTAAACATACAAGTTAAGCAAAAAAGTCAGGCCTCTCTGTGTTGGCAGGGGGGAGAGCTGTCTCCAGCAGACTCTGGGCCTGGGGCCCCGGGGACCTGGGGCCTTATCTTCCCAGAGCAGGGCCTGCCTTCCCTCACTCCCCCTCCCTCTGGCCCTGTGGCAAACTGGCCCAACACTGGGACGCAGCTTCTGTGTGGCCGGGACAGGAGCCCCTTTGCTGGTCCGGTCAGGGCGCAGGTCCCCAGCACCCGACCCAGACCGCACGCTGCAAAGCCAGCAACTACATGCCATGGGTACGGAAAAACCCCAACACCCAAATCCCAAACCTCTTCCTCCTGCCCAATACTGTTCTCTAGATTAAAAAATAAAATACACACCATTGGAGAGCAGCGGTCCCGGGCAGCCCTCGGCAGCACCAGGACTAAAGGACTATGTACAACCATTAGGTGAAATAGTTACATTACAGTCGAACACCAAGAACATTTACAAAAATTGTCAGACTTGCAATTCAGATAAAAATCTGTGAAGAGTCTGTACACTTTTACAGTTTTTGCACTAAGTAAGTAAGGCTCTCGGCCTGAGAGCTCACAACCCACGCCAAGGGCCGCCAGCACCAGACCTGTGCTGGCCTCCTGCACCCTGCTGTCCGGGCCCCAGGGCCCTGGGAACCTCCCCCGTATTGCTAAGAGGCGCTCAGTCCGAGGTTGCTCTACGAGGCATCGAGGCATCAGTGGGAGAGGGGTAGGGGGGAGGAGGGGAGGAGACCGAACCAGAGTACATCACTGGGGGCCGGGCCCTGCCTGTGTGGCCACTAGTGGGGGCAGGGCCACAGCCCCCACGGCCTTCCTTCCTGAGGTCTGTGACCCTCGGGGGCCTGCCCTCTCCTCACCCGCCAATCTCTGGCCTAACTGAACTGCAGGCTGCGTCTAAGAGCCCCCTCCCAGGACATGGGCCAGGACAGGGGGCTGTGTGGTCTGGGCCACCCTCCCCGCACTCCCCGACCCGGTGGGCTCTGTGGTGACCTGGGCCCCTGGCAGCGGCAGGCCTCCAGCCCCAGGGGCGGGAAGGGCTCAGTGCTCTTTCCAAGGGTCTCCTCAGCTTCCTGAGGCTGAGGCAGAGGGGGCGGCTCCCGCGAATCGCCCAGCCCCGGCTCCGCGGCCCTGGCTCTGCTGCTGCTGCGGGGCAAACGCCCAGCTCCCGCCCGAGATTACCAGGGCTGGGGGTGGGAACAGGGAAGGGCCGAGACACACCCAAGCTCCTGCCCACCTATGTCCCGCAAGGCGGGGGGAAAGGGGGGAGCAGGGAGGGCTGAGAAGCCACAGAACAGCCTAGAGCTGGGGAAAACCGGCCCCAGCCGTGCCCCTCTCCTGTCTGCAGCGCCTGGGTCCTCGGCCGGGGGCCCGGGAAGGGTGAGGAGGAGGCCGGCCGCACACACGGGGCCTGGTGCAGGCTGCTGCTGTCTTGGAGAGGGAGCAAGTCTAACATCCTCCAGGGCCGCTATTTCCCATGCAGTGCGCACGCTCAATTTAAAAGGCCCCTGTGTTCCAGCAAGCGAGCAAGCGGGCTTTTGTTTCTAATGCATACTGTGAAAGGAAAAAAAATCACAGTTATCCACCTTCTCAGGGCCTACTGGCATCAGACTTTCTTTTCACCATCCATCAGGGAAGATCAGCCGTTCTCTCAGGGTGAGAACCGCTGGCCACTCCCTGAAGGGCCACTGCATCCTGGTGCGCCGGCCCCGGGAGAAGGGCGGGTACCAGGCACAGAGGCATCTGGGCCCACTCTGCCCAGATCTTTGGCTTTGGGGAGCCCCGGAGTGTCAGGCTGGGCCCAGGTGGCAAGTGAGGGAGGCTCTGGATCCTCCCCACAGAGACAAGGGCCCAGAAGAAAGAGCCAGGATCCTCACTGGGTCTGTTTGGCAACACAAATAAGGAAGGGGGGACGGGGAGTCTGGGGACAGGTACAGGGGGGAATCCTCGGTTCCTCACAGCCAGGAAGGGTCCCCGGACAGGCCGCATGCAGTGGCAGGTGCTCAGGGTGGAGCCCTGCGGGGGACAGGAACTCCAACGGCTCCATCCTTCCCACCCTCTCCCTGCCTGACAACTGACCGATCAGCCCCTGGAACCAAGGGGCAAGTCCCCCAGGGCAGGCGCCTGGGCCCCCACCGCTTCAATCCTCCACCTCTGCGGGTGCTCCCTCCCTAGGGAGGGTGTAGGGGGTACATGCACTTGGCCAGGTCAAGAAAGAAAGGTGACACACACCAAATTCAATAACCAGCAGAGACATATTTTGGCAGGCCCCCTGCTCGCCCCAGGCCGTCCCACCCCCCAGCCTGCAGTCTCTTTGGCCTGCACCGAACTCGCTTCTCGGGCCAGAAGAGAGGGGAGCGGGCCCATGCTGCGTCAGTCTGTCGAGGCTCCCTCCGTGGCACCTCCTGGACCGCAGGTGGAGGGAAGGGGGGGGGGCCTGGGCCTCCCGCCCCCACGCTGGGGCTCCCCAGGCTGAGGCTGGCCCCAGGCCACCACGGTCCTCCCTCCTTGGGCAGGTTAACAATGGCTGCTGTTTCGGAACTCGCCGTTCTCAGTAATCTGCAATTTGGTGGGGTTGGTGGGGGAGACGCCGTTACGGGCTTGCATGCTGTACCTCTCTTTCAGCTGCGTCAGGGCGCTCATGAGGCGGGCGTTGGCGGCGTCCAGTGAGGCGATGCGCTTCTCCTGGGGGCAAAGAGGGCATTAGCTGGGGCCACAGGGGGACCGTACCGGGACAGGGGTCTCCCCGGGGCTGTGTGCGCCCATCAGCGGTGCTGGGAGGACACGTGGGGAGGAGCAGGAGTCCATGGCGTGCAAGGGGCCAGAAAGGTGCCGAGGTTACAGGGCCGCGGGTGTGCCGGGCAGGGGGCTGCAGGGCAGGTGGCCTCAGTGCCATGGCCCGAGACCCTGCGCCTGCCTTCCTACGTCTCTCCCATCACTGCTTCTCCCCAGTCAGAGCAGCCCTAGCGGTGTCGCCCATCAGCCGCCAAGCCCCGAGGGTTTGTGTCCTCGCCCGCGTGCGCGTGACACGGAGATCACGGCTCCTGGCTGGTCCATGCTGTTTTTACGTTTATAATCTGAGCAAGGCCTGGCCCTATTGCCGGGTGAGTGAGAGGAAAGGAGTGCAGGGAAGGACAGTGGAGGCCAGAGTCTCTTATGTGCTTCCTCTCTCAATGCAGCCGGGAAGCCACAGCTCTGAACTAGAGCCCCCCTGCTCCGTCTGCCCTGCCTGCTGTCACCCCAAGCCATCCCCATTCCCTTCCCAAAAGCTTCCACACTTTGGTCAGTACCCTTGGTGAAAGGCAGTACTCACCAAGTTGCCCCAGTAGGGAAGGAGCTGTCCCACCCCTTTCATAGCCTGTCCCAGTGAGCTTGTGGTCCACTGAGACCTCCAAGCCTGACTTCTTGGATCAGAGATCCTGGCCTCCTATTCCTCAGCTTTTATAGTGGGGTTATGACTGAGAATGTAGAGTTGTCAAAGTCACCCCCTCCTTACCCCAGGTCCTTTAACACCTATGGCTGACCAAAGGGCCAGAACCCACCTGGGCATCAATGATCTTCTGTTTGGAGTCTACAGCTGCTTGCATCTCAGCGTGGTCCTTCTTCAGCTCCTCCTCCACTGACATCAACCTGTGACCAGACACAAGGACAGTCAAGCTGGCACTTGAAGGGGCAGCTAAGGAGGTGGGGTGGGGCCCTGCGGGAAGAAGCCATCACACCTACACGGAGGGCACCTACTAGGAAAGCCCCTCCAGCTGGCCTCCAAACTGACATGAGATGGGTCTGCTCCTTCCTTATACTTCACCTGCCCCAGACTCTGTTCCCAAATCCCCCAGAAGCCCTTGGAGCTGCCCATTTCCCGATGTTCTTCCAGGAGCCAAGGTGGGCAGGGGTGGGGGTTAGATCTTCACCGCCTCCCAGAGCAAGGCAGGGGGTATAATGTCAGAAGATCCCGTGGCATGGGGAGGAGGATGAAAACCCTGCAGGGCTCTAGGGTTTTCTCCACCCACTCGGCATTCGGCAAGTCTATGCCAAGACGTGCCTAGCAGTTGACGTAGCGGGATGAATAAAGTAGAGATCTCCAACTCTCAAAAAGTTACAAGGCAGCAGGGATACAGATAGGCAGACAGTGGCCATGCCCTGCATGGGAGGCCTGGAGGCCATGGGAACAGAGAACAGGAAGCAGGTAACTGTCCTGGAGGGTGGGGTGGGGTACAAGCAAGGTCTGAAGGTCGGTAATGAGTAGGGAAGACTAGAAGAACACTGTCTGCAGAAGCTCAGAGCTAAGGCATGTGTGTGCCTGTCACCAGCTGCTCCTTCCCTGAAACCCCTCCTGGCCTCACCTTGCGGGTCCCTCATGCACCTGTCAATCACAGTGGCTCACACCCACCTTCTGATGCTCTTCCATTAGTTTCTGGACCCCACACTCTCTGGGTTTGCCTCCTAGCTGTCAGGCCACTGCTCTGCAGATGCCTGTCTTGCCTTAGCCCAGCATGTCACGTCAGGGCTCTGAGGGGGTCTGTCCCAGCCCCTGTTGTTCTTGTTCCCCACACTCTTCTCAGACAAGCTTGCCTGCTCCCAAGGCTTCGTGCCCATCGTTACCTGTACAACTTCTCCAGGCCAGCAGAGCAGTCCCCTAACCCCTGGGTGGGCACCGAGCACCCGACATAGAAGGTGCACAGGGAGGTCAACGGTGCTGGGGCAGGTACCCACAGGGCCCTTGTGAGAAGTCAATGGGATCAGCAGTCAGGGAGCACTGATCAGGAGGAAGGGGTGAGGGGCCATGCCAAGCGGGGGGGTGTTCCTTGTCACAGGAAGATCAGACATTGAGTAAAGCCTGTAAGAAGCAGGGAGGGAGGACCGGGGAGCAGAGGGGCCCTGGATGGTGTCAATCCGAAGGGAAATTACACTAGGGGATAGAGACTTGTGCTTCCGGTTGGTGGGAAAACAGGGACCGGATTTACCCTCCTGCCATCAAACAGCGACAATAAGAAACTAGAAAACCAAATGAAATATATGAAAAAACGGTTTCCTGACACTGAACAATAGGCAGTGTGTCCTAAGAAAAGGAAACACATGAGCTGAGCTCCGCTCACTGCCTGGAGCGTCCAGGCCAAAGAGAAGAAGGAAAGTAATGTCACGGAGTTGAGGACCCCAGGGAAGCGGTGCTCGAGAAGAGGAAGACACAGGGACAACGCCACGTATTTCCTGAGAGTTCCCTTTGAGTCTTTGGCTGGGGACGGGTCTGCAGACCTGTGAGAACACAGCCAGGCTGGGGTAGGAACCACTGAAACATTAGAACAAAACCACCCCAGGGAGAGTTCATACTCCTACCTGGCAGAGTGGAAAGACATACTAACACAGGGACATAAAGTAGAATCCCCAGAAGAAAATTGCCTCAGCAGTGGGGCCAGGTTAGGCTAGATTAAAGGCTGTCCAGACCCTCCCCAACAAAGCTTAAATGTAAGCCTCCAAGGAATCAAACTCATTCCAAATAACCTCATTGCATCCCAGAACAAAGCCTCAAAAATATTTAAAAGAACACAAAGCATCCCACACCTACATAAAAGTCACAATGTCTGGCATCCAACCAAAAATCACCAAACATAAGAGAAGTAGAAAAATAGAACCAATAACCAGGAAGAAAATTAATAAAAACAGACTCAGAAATGTCACAGATGACAGGATTTGTAGACACCGAAACAACTGTTGTAAATGTATTTCCACATGTTTGAGAAAATACAGAGGAAAGCATAAGCATGATGAGAAGAGAAATGGACAGAATTTAAACCAAGCTGAAAGTCTGAAGGTGAAAAATACAGTATCTGAAATGAAATAAAAAAATACTGGGTAGGATTAATAGCAGATCAGACACTGAAGAAGAAATGATTATTAATCTTGCAGACATAGGAACAGAAATTATCTAAGATACAACAAGGGAAAAAAGTAAAAAAAAAAAAAAAAAAGGACACAACAGAGCATCAGTGCAATGTGGGACAATATAAAGCAGCCTAACATACGTGGGATGGGATTCCCAGAAAAGAGACTGGGTAGGCAGGACAGCATACCTATAGATCCAAGAGCTTAAACCCAAGAAACATGAAGAAAACCACGTCAAGGATCATCCTAATCAAATTATCAAATCAATGATAAAAAAAAAAATCTTAAAAACAGCCAGAGAATGAAGACCAAAAGAACAAAAGTAATGACAGAATCCCTACTATTATAGCCTAACAGTGAGGGCCCCACTGGCCCACTGCCTGTTTTTGTAAATAGCCACACCACACACATAGTTCTGCTAAAACAGCAAAGTTGAACACTTACAGAGGCCATATGGTCTTCAAAGCCTAAAATATTTATTATCTGCCCCTTTACGGGAAGTTTCCAACTCTTGCCCTAGATGGTGACAACAGAGATATAGCTAATAAGCCAGTAAGAAAGATAAAATGCAATCATAAAAATGCTCAATCCAAGAGTGCAGGAAAAAAGGGAACAGAACAGATGGTACAAAGAGAAAACAGTAGCAACATTAAGAGATTTAAACACAATTATATTGATAATTACATTAAATGTAAATGGTCTAAATACTCCAGAAACTGCCAGATTAGATAAAAAGCAAGAACAGACAATAAGGTGTCTATAAAAAAACTCATTTATATAGAAAGACACAGATAGGTTAAAAGCATAAGGATAAGAAAGGATATACCTGGCTAATACGAATCAAAATAAAGTTGGGATACCTATAATCAACATCAAACAAAGCAGATTTCAGAGCAAAGAATATTATGAGGGATAAAGAAGGTGACTTCGTAACAGTAAAGATGTTAGTTCATCACCAGCACATAACTCCTAGATGTGGATGCATAGTTTCAGTGTACATAAAGCAGAAACAACAGAAAAGAGAAATACACAAATCCATAATTACGATTAAAAACTTCAATACCCTTTTCTCAATAACTAATAGAACAGTAAACAAGTAGACAGAAAAACTAGTAATAACATAGAAGGATTCAAATAATGCTATCAACCAAATTGAAAATTGACGTTTCCATTAAGGAGGAAATACAGCGGGATGGGTTAGTAGAGATAAATGTGTTAAGTAAGCCACTGAATTCAGAGACCACGCACCCTTCGGAGAAGAGGCACAATGAGAAGGTGGTGGTTAGTTTGAGAAGCATTAGTGAGCCAAGAACAGAGCCAGCGGTCAAGTGAACAGTGGATTTCCAGTCACCCCAGTTATAGGCCCTCTGCTCATGCTAACCATTTTACAATGAACAAACCCACAGGTAAGCGAAGCAAACAATAATTAGGACAGAGAAACAGGTAGCCTAAAGAGGAAGAATCTGGAAAAGGTTTCTCTAGTGGATGAAGCATGAGGCTAGGTGGGGAAATTTCCTGGCTATGGCACACCTGCTAAACCTGTCCGGATGACAGATTCCTGTGCCGTGCAAACAAGTTGCAAAACCCACACTGTGTCCTCTTCTACCTGCTATTACTGTCGTGAAGAAGTGAATTTCACAGCTGGGGCGCCGGGGATGGCCAGGATGCTACCCCTTCACTGTACTCCCTGCCTACAGACATGCATGAGGGTGTACCCACCCTGCCCATGGGTGGAGACAGAATGAGAGAGAGAAAATCACCACAGCATGTGATATCCAAGCCGTCAATAGAGATGAGAGTCAGCATCAAAGCCAACGGTCCTCTGGAAATCTTTCCTGGATACACTCACAGGCACCTTAAAATTCAACGAATCCCAAACGTGGGATCTGTCCCAGCATGGCTGGGACACTGAAACTTCCCAAGATCCTCCTCTCAGCAACTGGTACCAAGACACCCAGATGCTCTTGGTAGAATCTGGGGGTTATTCTGCCTCCTTCTCCTTCACCCACTGAGTGTAACTGACTTATCCCTACTTTTCCTGCCCTGAATTGGGTCCTCACTGTGTTGCCTGGCACCTCCAATCCTACCTCCCCTGAGAGCACTTACCAAGAAAACAGGACTCCTTACAGGGGTCACAGGCCCTGTGTGAGCTGGCCTTCACTAACCTCGCTTCGGCCGGGCCCAACTTTGCATTCTACCACCAATACACACCACACCGAGTAGGGCTCCCCACGCTCCAGGCTGCCTCCCACCGCCAGGCCTGGGCCACACCGTCTCCGCTGCCTGACACACTCCCCTCCTTCCTCCTTCCACTCTGGGCTCCCCTGCAGCTGATCAGGAGGGCGGTCTGCCTCCTGTGCGTGTATGTGGGGTGGGCGGGTGGAGGGGGGGCCGGAACTGGCCCAGGGCAGGAAAAGGCTGCCCTCACCTGCTGATGATGCCCTTCATCTGGATGTCCTTGTCCTCCTGCTGCCGCCGCAGCCGCTCCTCACCCTCCTCCAGCCGTGCCTGGTACTCCAGCACCAGCTTCTGTGTCGTTTCCTCCTGGCACTTGAACAGGGTCTCATACTCCTCCAGCTTCTTGGTAGAGATTCGCAACTTGTCCTGCAGCACTGCCAGGTCCTGCCGGGAGGGCAGCATGCCACGGGCACGGCACCCAGGACAGAGAGCACAGCCTCGTGAGCCGGAGCAGGAGCACAGGGCAGGGAAGGAGCCCAGCTTGGAATGTACCAGGGGTCTTCACCACCTTCACCTTCACACAGTGAGGAGATGCCTTCGGAGCCCAGCCAGAAGGGCCAGGGTGAGACGCCAAGGCTGTCTCCGTCCAGGGCTCTCTCCCCTCCAACCTCCTACCCCTGCAGCGTGACCTTACAACTATGAGGGAATGAAGACTCAAACCCAAATCTCAGAAGTAAGGGTTTAACTGAGGGCACGGAGTTCTTTTTTATAATAAACAAATGTTAAAAACTCTCTTGGATATGTTAAAATCTGATAGCACCCTGAAAGGTAGGAACTCTATAGGAGGGGAAACTGAGGCCCAGAAGGCAAGGTGACCCAGTCCCATGGAGAGTGACTAACCAGTGGAGTGAGAGCCTAGCCTCCCAGCCTCTATTTGACCCTAAAGCAAGGGCGGTGGCATGGGGAAGTGGGGGCGGAGGGGAGAGGTTAAAGGCAAGGTGGGGTTGACACTAGAATCAAGGGGTTGGGGGCCAGGGTACCGTGACAATTGGGGAGGCAGGAAGAGCCTCTCCTGGAGTCCTAGGCAACGGAGGCCTAATTCACTTCAGCAAAGGTCAGGAGGCAGCAAATCCAGCTGACTGGGGAGAGGCCCAGCCTTAGCCCCAAGCTAAGCTCCTAAAGCAAAGCTGGACCCATAGGAGAGCTTGGCTCTGGGAGAGATGACCCTGGCCCATCCCAAGTCTTGCTCAGCTAGCCAGAGCGGGGTAGAGAGGCTCCTCCCTGACGGAGGCAGTACCAGGTTTCCAGGGAGCTCGAGAGAACAAGGCCTCCCCCAGATTTGCCTTGTGAGGGTTAGTAGCAGAGAGGGCGAGAGAAGCGGTAGCTCATTCAGCCATGGATTGGCAAGGAAAGAGGGCCCTCCAGCTGCAGCCTGACCCCTGCAGTCATTCGGGTGGTCCTTACAAGTCACGAATGGGACTCTGGGTCCCCGAGAGGTGCAGAGCCCAGCCCCAGGCTCACAAAGGGAGCTAAGGCTGGCCCAACTTTTGGCCCAACCACACTCTGGCTCTTGGAGCACTGTGCCCCAGCTCGCCTTGTCCCCTTGACATAATTATGGTGAAAGCAGGCGGATGCAGTGGACTAAGGGGATGGTGGAAGGTGGCGGAATGCAGCATGGACATGAACCTCGCCCTAGGCCAGGACAAGGGAGAGCTGCCACCCGGACTTCCATGCCCTTGCCTGAGAGGCTGCTAAGGCTTTCGTAGGGCCGAGGCGAGGGCATCTGGGGAGTGGAATAAGTACCATTCTGAGGGGCCTTGCACTGGGCCCTGCATCTTCCTGGGCTTTGGCCCACAGGAGGACATGAGAACCAGCCGTGGATCCAAGGCAGTTGCCATAACAACAGGGAGAATTTGGGAGGACAGAAGCCCCTGCCCCCCCACTGCCCCACTAAATGCTAGATGTGTGTGGTGGGTGGAATCTGGATATTTTAGAACCCCCCCCCACCCAGGGGGAGAAAATCTCTCAGTAGCAGTAGGACCCTTCACCTGGCTCCTTCTCTCTCATGTCCTGGTGGAGACAGGAACTGGGCAAGAGCCAGGCTCTGGATAGGCACAAACCCAGAGTAGGGGACATAGTGGGGGGCGGCCCTCCCAGCTGTCTCGGGGACCCACACCTCTCTGCCTCCTCATGCACGAAGCTCCCCATGACGGTCTCCATGTGCCTCTTTGGCACCCCCAGTCCTCAAGTCCTGGCCTCGCAGAAGCTCGATGGCCAGGTCCCTCAGGGAAGGGGCCTCCCAGAGGTCTGAGGACCAGGTACCAGGAGTCTGGATTCAGTACAATTTCCAGGTGAGTCTCATGGTACAGCCTGTATAGGAATTCTTAGCTCTAAGCTAGATCCCTCTTGCTGCTCTTCTTCCAGAGGCCACTGGCTGATGTCCTCATGGGGGACCAGGGGCCGAGGGGGGACTGGCCACACGCAGGGAACAAGCAGCATCCCTCATTCAGGGCTCGAGGGAAGAGAACATTGCCAGCGGCCACAGGCAGGCAGCCCCGCCCTGCCCCAAACTGCCAGGGTCCAGCTTTACCTTTTCTGCTTGGCTGAGCTCCTCCTTACTCCTTAGCCTATCCCTGTGGGGGGGGTCTGGGCCCAGGCCCTCGTCTTCTAACAACTGCGCGTTCATGGTCAAGAGCCAAGCGGCCGTGCGGTCCAGGGCATTGGGGCTCACAGGTGAAGGGCCCTACAATGAAACACAGCTGTGAGGGGCTGGAGGGAGGCAGGGGGGGTGGCACCAGGTGAGTCACAGGGACAAGTGGCTCAGGGACATGGCAAGGGTAGGGGACCTCCGGCTGGCCAGGCAACTACCGATACAGTCCCCAACTCAGGAATTCCCACTCCCGGATGGCAGCCTGGGCGGAGTCAAGAGCCCAGGTGGCCTGAGTGCCCCTCTCTGCCACCCAGGTGAGAGCAAGTGAGCTTGGCCAGGCAGGTGGGCATTCAACCCAGAGCACATCTGTCCCACATGCTGTGTGCGGCCCCAGGGTGACCCAAAAGCCCTGGAGACCAGCTCAGAGCATGAAGGTGGGGGTGCTGGGGGTCTGGTCGACTCCTACCCTGGGTGGGGCTTTAACAGGCCTGCAATCGGAGATGGATAGACCCCTCCCTCTTTCTCCCTGGCCCCAGCTGCCCCTGGGGGAACTGGCAGAGAGACCCTAAGGCCACACTGTCCCTGGTTCAAAGGATTCAGGCAGGGGCCAGTGGGCCTTGGCGGGGAGAGGGGAGGTGGTGTGTGGGGCAGGCTGGTGGGATGGGGCCAAGTGCGGCCATGTTCAGCATGGGATGGCAGCTGAGGACAGGCGAAATGACCAGGAGCAGCACGCCATGGGTGGGGTATGATGTCCCGGCGGCCCGAGCGTGTGGCCTGCCCTGGGACAGCAGCACTGACCTGCTTGTGCACCGCACGAGGCTTCAGCTCCGGGCTGTCACCCTTGGACGAAGACGAGGGTTGCCGAAGCCGGGCTCCGGGGCCAGCCCAATCAGGCGAGGCTGATGCCAGGGTTCCACTCGAGGGCCGCGGGTACTGCAGGGTGCTCAGCAGGGTGGGTGGCGTCCGGCCACGGGGCGCAGGAGGGGGCGGTGGGGGCGGTGGCGGTGGCTGGTCGATCCTCCGCTGGGGGCCGGCACTGTTCTGCCTCGGCACCGTGGGCTGCCCGCCCTTCTCAGTCAGTGACATCTGCCGCCGCGCCAGCTCCCCGGGCCGCCGCGCCAGCTCTTCAGCGGGGCTGCTGAAACTTCCCAGCTTGGCGGCAGCTGCCAGCTCCTCACTGTTGCTGTGAGAGCTCAAGGAGCTGTGGCCCTCGGAGCCCGAGTCGCCAAGGCCACGAGGCGAAAGTGGCAGGCCAGCCGCCATCTGGTACACGGGGTTCTGGAAGGACAGCGGCGCCAATAGCTGGGGCCGGCCGGGGGCGCCCTCGGAGGTGCCCGGCGTGGTCGGGGTCTGGCCCGCCCGCCGCACCGTGGCCAGCCCTGCCAGGCTCGCTGGGGCCGCCCGGGCCGGCCACCCGGCCACCAGCTGAGAGGCCGGCGCCTGCCCATCGGTAGTGAGGGTGTCGGGGCCCGCCGGGGAGCCTGCCTCCCCGTCCAGCGTGCGGGCATCTTGGAGGTCCACCATAGACAGGCTCTTGCCACCATTGGCCATCTGAAGATCAGGCTCGTTGGCTTCCGAGTAACTCGAGCTGCGGGCAGGTGAGGGCTGGACCCCGGAGGACCTTGTGACAAAAAACAAGTCCTTGTTTTCGGGGGTTGGAGACGGTAACCGGGTGAAATCTATCAGACTGCAGGGAGACAAGCACACACAGGGAAAGAAGGGGGAAGAGAAGAGCTGTGAATGCGGCCAAGGCGGGTCCAAACCGAGAGCCCCGCCAACCTGCCGGGGCCTGGCAGCCTGAGCCTGAGCCGGGGCTGCAGCGGGGGAGGGGAAGGCAGGGCAGGGGAGAGGAGGTGCGAAGGCTGCAGAAATGGGCCAGGCTTGGGACCAGTGGCCCGGCTGCAGCACCAAACCACAGCCCTGGCAGCGCCCGCCCCCGGCAGAAGCCACCGCAGGGACCAAGTGGCCAGGCCAGCAGCTCCTACACTGCACCTCCCTTCCAGGGGCCGGTGTTGCTAGTTCCAGGCCAGGCTGCCCGGCACGCCCGTCCCCGGCTCAGCTGCACTTGGGACATTGGGTGCTGCGGCCTGGAGTGTTCTGGAAAATTCCCCTTAGCTAAACCCAAACCCACAACGCAGTGGCTCTCTGCTATCCAAAGGTCCGACTTCAAAGCCACAGGGGCTCCCGCAGCCTCTTCCCTCTTGTTCCTCATCAGACTGACAACCAAAGTGGGGACCTATTGAAGCCTCCCCAACCCCCCCCACCCCCCGCTCCCCGCCCAGCCTCCTGCTGCCACCTTTGTCTGACTGGCAGGCGGGGGCTGCTGTTCCTGGCAAAAACAAGGGATCAGAGGAGGATCCAAAGGTGTGACTCAGGCAGGGAGGGTCTGCACCTGCAGAGGCAGGCCGTGCCCTACCCCCGTCTTGCAGCCTCTCCCTGGCCCCTCCCCGGAAGCTGGCTCCTTAGAAAGCACAGTGTGGTGGTAGGTCAGGTGGGCTTTGGAGGGAAGGTTGTGGGGGGTGGGGGTAAACAGGGCTCTGAGCAGGTGAGGGTTCAGTAATGGGGAGCTGGAGTTGGCGTAGCCTGGGATGGAGAGGATGCCTGGCTACCTCTTAACCAAGGTATGTCTTCCACCTGAACTGCTTTGCTTCACTTGGCAGGCTGTATGAATGGACCCCCAAGACTCAGAGGGAGCTGGGAAGCGGCACCTAGGCCTCTGCAGCTCTGGCCTCCTCCTGGGCCTCCAGTCCTGTGTACCACACACCCTTGCTTCTTGATCTCAATGCCCTTGCCTGCTTACATGCCTGCTTACATGCCTCAGAACAAGACTCAACTCCCAACTCTGCGGCCCCAGCCTCATCCTTACTAGCTGGCCCCAAACGGCCCCTGGGAGGGACTGCATGAGCGGGGCAGAAATGGTTCACTATAAACCCAAGTCTTTCAAAGGAATATCCTCATTTTGACATTAACATCTGAGAACATTCTGCCTCCCTGTCCACCAGGTGCTTATTTACAGGTCACTGTGCCTTGGGGCTGAGGTCTCAGACTGTGGTCTGGACCTCAATACCTAGTTTCTGGAGCTCCCAGGCTGAGAGCCTTGCAGTCAGTCACCCAGGCTCTTGCTGAAAACACACATGCTTTAGTGCTACTTCTGGAGATTCTGATTCAAACCAGGAAATACCATGAAAGTATTTTTAACACACACCTGGGTAATCTAGAGGTATTTGGGACCAAATGGTTCTTTAACAAAGCGTATTTCTCCAGGTCTTTGTTTGTGCTAGTTCCTCTATGTAGAAGACCTTTTTCACCAATGGAAATGTTACTTTTCCTAAAAAGCCCAAACTATGGCACTACCTCCTCCAAGAAGCCTTCCCTGATTTTTCCCAAATGAAGGTTCACTGCCTACAGTCTGCATAACACGTTTCAAGTCTCATCTAGCTTATTTTATAAACATTTGTGTAGACATCCTCCTCCCCAGCTGAGGCTGCAGACAGGCTGCACCTTGCCTGCACATGTACCCCACAACACCCGGTACGCCTAGCAGCAGGTCTTACCCAGAGAGATCATTCTCTATCACCATCTTCTGCAGCCCGGCTGAGATGCTGCTACTGCCAGAGCCAGGAGTGGAGGCCAAGTCGTTGGTCCCTGGGAGCTGCCCACTGCCTGGGGTGCTCAGTGCTGTGTGGACATCCCTCAGGATTCGAGGCAGGGGCCCCAGTTTGGATACAATGCTCTGCAAATACACAGCAAGAGGCAGGTGTGATCCGTGGGGGCCACTTGGGAAGGCCAAGTGCACTGCAGCTGCTGTGGTTCAAAATCGCCAAGGAACCCCTTGAAAAGGCAGGCCCTCCCCTCCCCCACCTGTCAGATGAAGCAGGGCTGGGAAGCGGCTGGGAAGGCCAGGAATCTGCAAATGAACATTTTCCCCAAGCCTCTCAGTTAGTTCTGGGAGTGGGGGAGGGGTGCAAGGCCCAAAGGGAGAAATGGGGACCTAGCCCAAGCCTTTGACCTGAGTTTGTCCTCTCCCCGTGCCCCAGAGAAGGGAGCCCAGGTGGAACCCCAGATCTGCCACAGTGACACCTCCCTATCCGAGAGGCTTCTGGGATGGCCCTCTGCTTATGCACTGGCTTCCAGAACTTTGTGCAGAAAGGAAGTGGGAAAACTCATGTAGTCAACAGGGCACAGACTGGGGAGGCAAACAGCTTGATTTCAAATCCTTGCTGCACCGGCATCAGCTGTGACAGCGGCTGCCACCTCCCGTGCTTCCGCCTCCTCGAGCAGATGCAGCGGTCGGAGGCGGGCACAGGGACTCCACGGGCAGTGGCCGCTCAAGCAACCTGTGCTGGCAGCCGTGGAGGAAAAGAGGGCCTCGGCCTCACTGCCATGACTCCTCCGGCACCTGTCGCAGCCAAAGGGCGATGGATACCGCGAGCAGAAGGGACTGCAGCAGCAAAGCACTGGGCCAAACCCGAGTGTCCAGCGATAGTGCAGGGGCCCGGGCGCTCCTCTGCGGGACAGCGTGCGGCCGTCAGAAGGTCCCAGCGGCAGTGCGGTATGACTGACTACAGCGAGCAGGCCCAAACTTTCCCACGAACAAGAGGAAAAGCGCTCTGTGCCTGCGTGGGTACTTCACACATGAGCAGAGGCATCTAGAAAGCTGCACAACCAGAGTGCCCTGAGCAGTCACCTCTAGGGAATGGGACAGGAGCAGGGAGGTCTTCCAGCCCTGTTTAGGCAGTAACTACTTTTGTCAGGTGGTCCCTTGAGGCCCTGGAAAGCAACAGATATTCTGGAAGTGGATCCTGGCAGGACTGGCCCTTGCTGCCAAGAACCTGTTCACTGTGTGGGCTGGGGCCGCAGGGGCGACATTGGAACCCCAGGTCACAGAGGGCGCATGCCGGGTGGCTGCAGCAGGGTCAGAGGTGGCTAGGGAGTAAGATTTTCAGCTGATGGTCAAGGGCAATTCTGGAAAGGTCTGCACCTTCCTGCCTGACATGGGAAGGTGCAGCATCTTCAGAGTATACGTTTTTCCCACCAGTGGCCTTAAAACCTAAAGCAAGGACATTTTTGGAGACGCAGCTAAAGATGATCACATTTCTCACAAGCAGGGAGCACACCTTCATGCAGGAGTCAGTCCACTCAATTCTGAGCGTGCAGAGGCATAGCTAAAGCCCCAGTGGGCAGAGTGGGCTCCCATGGCAGCTGCTGGAAAGTGAATGGGACACTCCCCACCCAGGAAATGGGGCCCAGAGACCCCCAGTGCATGCTGACAGGGCCTGGGTTGGAACCCTGGGCTCCAGCACCTGGGTGGGCGAACACGCTTACCCCCACAGTTAGTCTGGAGGAGCACCCTCCAGCTCTGTGGCAGCATCTGGCCCAGCCCCTGACCCCCCGCAGCCCCATGGGGCCAGGCACCTGCTCCAGCTGGCTGACGGCCTCCCAGAGCAGCGAGTGCAGACTAGAGAGCTCACGGCCCAGATCGATGTAGCCCTCGAAGCCGGCAGTGTTGGAGATGGTCTCGGGATTGGAGATCTCCAACAGGAAGCGTTGCATGTTGGTCCACTCGTGCTCCAGGAACTGGTTCATGAATGACATGTACTCCTCCTTGCTGCCAAACCTGGACAGAAAGCAGACAGGGTAAGTGCCCCGGGGCCCCACCCAGGAGCCCCCCTTCTCTGAGGCACCCTGCCTCAACTCCCACCCCTCCCGGTCCACTGCGGCTGCCTCCCATGCCACTCACTGCCCCTGCCAACCAGTCCGTTCCGACTCGGGGCCCTCATTCCTGGCTAAGCCCAGAGACCCTTTTCGGGACCTTTCCTCACAGGACCTAGAATGCTCTGTGGCCCTCATTCCTCATGCATTGCCAGTCAATCTCCTTTTTCTTTTCCTCCAAGTTTCAAAGGCTTGGTGCACAGATGCCTTTCCAATTCACGTTTGGCAGGTCTCTCTGCTCAGCTTTCAGACATGCGCATCCATGGGCACCTCCTCTGTATTCGGCCTGGCCAAGTCTGGTGTCAGGTCTGTCGCCCCAGACCCATGCCCCACCACCAGGCTTCCTATCCTAAGTGGGGACACTGCCGTCCCCCAGACAGCTGAGCCAGAAGCCTGGTGGCTTCCAGCTTCTTCCTTTCTCACCGGTGAGACCTGCTGACTTTATCTTCTAATAACCCCCGGCCTCACAGCCACGGCCTCTTATATCGCCACCCCTTGCCCCCCAACACTTCCCCTGCAGTTCCTTTTGTGGGAGGGAACCATGGCTACCCTCTTGGCCCTGTCCCTCAGCTGCCCGCTGTGCTTCCTCCAGCCCCTGTGCCCCTGGCTTTCAGGCTGACTGGTTCAGGACCCAGAACAGATGAGAGCCAGCCTCCCTCTTGCTTCAAGCCCTCCAGTGGCTCCCCCCTGCCCCACCTGCACTTCAAGTCCCCGCTGACCTCTCGTATCTCGCCTCCCACTCCTCCTGGCCTGGCGCGTGATGAGTCAGGAATGCCTGGGTGCCTCATCCTGCCAGCACACAGCCCTCCCGGGGCCTGCCGCACCTCTGCTTCTGCTCGCCTCGTCCTGACACTCAGCAGGGGGCACATCTCCCAGGACGACAAGCCTGGGGCCCTCCTAAGAGGCCTGCGTGTCTCCCTCACTGCTCTGCTGCTTACCCCACATCTCCCTCTCTGCGGAAGTGTGGGTCTGGGAGGCTGGGGCCAGATGTGACTCAGAGCCCAGCACAGAGAGGCCTGCAGCAGGGCTCCGTCCACACTGTGAATGAGCCCTTCCGTTTCCACCCACTCGCTCCAAGGTACAGCTGAGAACACTAAAGTGCTTTATGAGCAAAGACATCCTTCACGGCATCAAACAAGGACAGTCTGAAACAACCTGAGAGCCCAACCACGCGGGACGGGTTAAGGATATATGGGCCATTCTCCCTTGAAGGCATATTAATCATTCATTGCAAAATGAGGCTTATGAATGTTAAGTACACGGGATAATCCTTATGATAAAATGTTAATTCAAAAAAGCAGAAGGAAAAAATATCTCCTCTTCTCACCTTTGAAAATGAAGAAAACGTACCCAAATGCCATGTACTTTTTGTAGGAGGAGGATGAGGTATGGAGATTTTATTTTGAACAACGGGGAAGGGAAGAACTGAGGATGACAGGGCCAGAAGCGGGGCCTGCAAGCCGCCCAACTTCAGGGTGGAAAGGTCCCCATCCCCCCGCCCGGCCCCACCGCTCCAGCTGGCTCCCGGACTCTGCCCGAGGGGTGCCCGGCACTCACTTGGCGAAGTTGGCCAGGTTCTGGGTGACCTTGGCGATGAGGGTGAGGGTGCGGGCTGTGCGGTCGTCGGGGTACTCCTGCAGCAGGTTGAAGAGCGAGGGCGACATGATGGCCGGGCAGAGGAAGCGCAGGAACAGGGAGGCACTGATGAGCCGCTCACTGATGTCGGGCCGGCCTCGGCTGCTGCACTCCTGCCGCCATGAGGCAAACACCTCTTTCAGCTCCCGCGGGAAGACACTGGGGGGGACAGAAGGGGGGAGTCGGTCATCGGGAGGGGGAGTTAGCCAGCTGCGGGGAGCGTGGCGCGGCGAGGGCAAATGGAGGGCTTGGCGGAAGGAGCAGGGACAGCCGAGCTCCAGGCAGGGTGGTGGGCTCTCCACAAAGGGGCCGAGGCGGGAAGGGCACAGGTCCAGAGAGGCCAGGTCTCTGTCCCAAGCAGAATCAATGGCAACTGCCAGCCTGCCCCGGGACTTCACCCTTGGCCTCCAACACCAGGCACGAGGTTCTGGGGAGAGTGAGGCGAACACAACTGGAATCGACCACTGCTCCCTGGATGCCACCACTGCTGCTGAGACTCACTCCCTTTGCTTGCATCATATTCAGGAACTGGACGACTTCAGCAGAGCTCAGAACGACCAAGATAGGAATAGCCCAATCACAGGATGAGAACCCAGCTCTCCACTTTCTCGGCGGGAAGGGAAACAGAGGGAGTGACCCACCCCCCACCACCCAGTGGGGGCCAGTGGGGGTAGGCAGGGTTCCTAGTACCCAGCTGGGGGCTCTCTCTGCTGGGCATCCACAGCCTGCCTCAGTCAGGCCCCATTGGCCGATCTTTAAGTGGTTTTCCTATCTTTTCCCCCTGAAAAGACATGCCTCCCACCTTGGGACAGACCAGGCCCCAGCACTCCAGGGACTCTAGGCCTGGCTCTGTCACGGGCTCAGGGTGTTCTGAGCAAGTGCCTGGCCCTCCCCGACCTTCAGTTCCCTCACCCTTTCAATGAGAATAGGGCCTACCCTGCCAAGTTCACATAACCATCTCAAGGCCGTAGGAAGCCTTGATCAACTCACAAGGCTTTTGCCCAACAAGCCCAGCACCTGCCCAGCAGGCTCTCTATAATGAATGCGGCTGAAGCAGCAAGAGCGCGGTAGAGAGACGGTGACAGGGGAGCGGAGGGAGGACCTTTAGCCCTGGCCCTCAAAATGCCTGACCCAAAATGCCAGGCAGCGGGGAGCTGTGGAGCAACGACATCTGCGGATGGCCTTGTTCAGAACAGAAAGGTGCCTCTGGGCCTCTGACAAATATCAGAAAGAGGAAATGGAAAAATCATCCACAGATATGTTTCCCTGTGTCCCACACCCAGTCTGCCCTGGGAACGGGGGGCAGAGGGTGAAAGCACAGTCCAGCCCAAGGGTGGGAGGTATGTTCCCAAAGAGTTCAGGACTGTGCCTCCACCCCCAGGTTCAAGGGTCATTTCTGGCCCAGCTCGAGGGGCCAGGCTGACCCTAGGTGAGTACCTTATACAGCCCGGGGCAGAGGGACGTGGTAGGAAGGACATGGATGTCCTTCCCTTCCCTTCCCTCCCAAGGGAACCTTGGGCTCCCTGCCCAAGGCTATCAGTCACCTAGCAGGCCTATCACTGCCTGTCTTTCGGGAGCAGCAAGCCATTCCCGGGCCTTCCTAGGTCCAGCCCTGAGCTGGTGGATCCATCTGCCCCGGGGTTCCAAGTATACGCAGGAAACAGATTTGGACACAAGCACAATCCCACTCTGACAGGATCAGGGCTGTGACAAGGTACCCAGGAGGAGTGAGACAACCATGTCTGATACCATGGAGGGGGCCACTGAGGGGGGGCAGGCGTAAGGCCTTAAAGCAGGAAGGGAGGCAGCATGAGGCGGTGGGGCTGTGGGGTGAGTGAGGAATGGCGCGGGGGGCAGGTGGTGGGGTGGGGCGGCACCCCTGTGGACCGCTGAGAGGTCTCTCACGAAGCCATCTACCTGCTCCAAGAGAGTGCCTGAACAGGGCCCTGTCCGCCTCACTCCCTGATGCAACCCCAGCACCCACAACAGCAGCCGGCACACGGACGGGCCTGCTAAGAGATTTGCAGATGCACTGCCACGTCCAGATTCTCCACACCACATCCTGCACAGATTCTGGGCCACTCCTTTACATTGGAGAGCCCACAAAGGACCAGGACGGGGGCCAGGTCGGGGGGGGGGGTTCCAATCCCAGAGCCACCACTTGGAAGCTACGTGAGGCTGCAGCTAGGCCACTGGCGCCCTTGTTAAACCTCTGCTCTGTCGTTTAGAACTCAGGGAGAACGGAGCCAAAGGGCCTTGCCCAGCACCCTGTGGGCACCCTCACACAAGAGAGGCAAGACACGGGGCAGGGGCCCAGGCAGCACTGACCAGTAGGAGTTGATGATCTTGCAGAAGGCTAGCTCGCAACACATCTTGAGGTTGCCCTGGTGCTCAGGGAGGTCGGCGGCCGAGCACTTGCTTGGGTCTACTTCGCAGTTCTCATCCGACTCATATAGCGCTTTGATGAACTCACCTGGGGCCAGGAGGGCAGGGAGAAGGAGTAAGGACTGGCAGGCGAAGGCCACCCTCTGCCCGCCTGCTAGCCTGCAACCTCCCTACCTAGCGCATCCTGCAGGTACTTCTGGCCCACCAGCTTGAGGTACTCCTCGATGGCCTTAGTGGCCAGCGTGTTCTCCCGGAAGATAAGGTGCTCGTTGTCCCCGCAGCGGTCCACCTCTGACATCATCAGGTCCGTCAGGAAGTCCTAGGAAGGCGGAAAATGAGAAGAGTGGATGTGAGCAGGCCCGGAAGGCAGGACCCTGGGATCCCAGCCCCGCCCCCAGCCCGAAGTGCGCGCTTCTTGAGGATGCTCTGCTGCCACACTGCTGGTGCCCACCCTTGGGGGCTAATGGGGGGTGAGCCCGGGCAGCCTGTGAAGGGGAGACACCTAGAGGTGGACGTGACAGCTGGGTCCAGGGATGGGGGAGGTGGCCTTGGCAAGGGCATGCCACGTGGAGCCATGAGCCAACTGCACTGTGGTCGGACCCGCTGGACTCAAACCCTGTTCCGTCCGCCCTGACCAGGCCTGGCCAGGAGACCAGAGCAGAACTCCCTTCCCATTGCCAACAGCGCTAAAGAGAACAGACAGGCCACCCTCCCTCCACTGTACAAGCAGCTGTCACCATCCACCTGCCCGTGACTCTGACGGGGTCTCCCATACCAGACAGACTTGTTCTGGGCCGCCCCCCAGGGGGAAACTGTCCAGATGCCCTGGAAGGCAGCGGGCCAGGGCTCAGATGGCGAGAACACAGTCCTCGGCTTGGGTGGTAAGGCGGCCCCTCACTGCTGTGGGTCCCAGACTTCTGGAAGGCAGCTGTGAAGCTGATGAGTCTACAGGTCCCTTACACGGTGTCATGGGAAGACCCTGGGAGGAGCCTGAGCCCACGCCCTCCCTCCTGACTGCAAAGATGCGGTAAGGTGAGCCTGCCTCCCTCAGGAGCCCCTGCCTCCTCGTGCCCTCAGCCAACCCTGTGACCTGGGGGAGGGGAAGACAGGGCATCAGAGACGCAGGGGAGGGTGATGGAGGTGGTAAGGTGGCCAGCATGGGCCAGGGTTTCTGGTGCTCTGGAAATCCCTCCCTCCAATATGTATAACTTTGGGCCCTCTGAAATCACAAGTGGCCCCTAAAATACAGAAGTGAGTTCTAGGTACAGGAAACCTACTGGCCAAAGGAGGGACAGTAGGCACCGCAGGAGGAGAGGGAAGGGGCCAGTGCCTTTCTGGGTACCACCCAACCTGAGGATCCCTTCCTGCACTACACATGACCAGTAGGGCCCCCTCCTCTGAACACGTAGGAGCGGAGCCAAGTACTGCATGGGGCCTTGCAGCTCCACTAGGCTCCTGCTCACGGCCACAGGCCTTCCACAACCCCTGGGGTGGGTGCCAGGCCCAGGCTGGGATGAGGAGGAGCTCTCTTTAAGAGCTAAAACTCAACGAGGGGAACAGGCACAGGATAGTAAAATGACCTGTCCAAGTCCACACAACTACCTGGGCCAGATCTGGAGTGGGGATGGCAGGGGGAAGCCTTGGAGTCCAGGACAGGAACTCTGCAAGGCCACAGCCCCAGAGGGCGGAGCCTGGAGAGAGTGGGGGAAGGTGCTGAGATGTCCACTGGGATTACAGGCCCTCAGCAGACACTCTGCCTCTCACCCTGAAACGCCCCATTAGTTCCCAAGTGTTCAGAGAGCGGGAGCCTCTATGTACATCAGCCCAGCATGAGTTACTTTCTATCCTTTTGCCTAATGATCCCCCAGGCCCACTGAGGGCGGCTGGAGCCTGGCTTCCAACTCCCTCCATGGTGAGCACCATGAGCCCTAAGAACAAAGGTCACTGCAGATGGGAGGTGGCTTTCCAGGCCAGCCCAGCCCTTGGGGGTCGGGTACTGAACGAACAGACACAGCAGCAGAAGAGGCCCCCCTCGCTCCCTCTCTGGGGGCCAGGGGCTCCCTCAGTGCACTCAGTTTCCCAGCAGCCTGCCCACACTGACCAGAGCCTGTCCAGCCTAGTCAGGTCCAAAGGCTGGGGGAGGGAGGAGGAAACTCAGTGCCCCTCCCTCCCCGGAGACCACACTGAGAAAGTCCCTCTCCTTGAGGGCAGCCACCAGGCAGGGGGGGCTCTGGAGGGCCCAAAGACTTCTGGGAACAGGTAAGAGAATAAGGGGCCCTGATGGGAGTCATGAGCCTGGGCCCCCAACCTGTGTCTCCCCCCGCCCCAGACTGCGAGGGCTCAGGACCTTGACACATGACGGTCCCTCACCTCCATCACAGGCCACTTGGCTCTCAAACCACACCATGTCCAGAGGGCAGAAGCGCAGCTCCGTTTTTTCTCTTAAACGCATATAAGAGATTTGTGTTTTATTCCCCTATGACACAGGCCAGCACCCGAGGCCTTCTGCAATGCCCAGTCCTTCTCCACTGCATCCCCTTCAGGCAGCTCCCCACCAACGGGAGGGGCAGGGTGAAGGGGTGGGGGGTCCACCTTTGAGGCCCACAGAACCACGCTCCACTGTGCCAGGCAGGTGAGCTGTGGGGAGCCTTCCTGAAGGAGACTACTTGTCTCCAGAACCAGGTGGGAGGGGCTGAAGCGTGGCCTGGAAGATGAAGGGGGGGGGGGCAGAGAGATGGGGCCCTCCAAACCTACAGGGGGCCTGCCGGATGGCTCTGGGACAATCCCCATTCCGTGGGCTGTGCGGCTGGGGACAGCTGTCACCACAGCTGGCTGACTGCTGACTGGCCCTGTGCGCACCGTGTGTGAGCCTACGTGTCTGATGTGGGAGGGCTGAGGCTGGGGGCTACGATAGGCCGTCACACGTCAGGGATGTCACCTGAATGCTGCCTCACTGGGAGTGTGTCTGGAAGAGGCTGGCTCCCCTCGAGCTTCAGAGGTCGGCCCTCAGGTGCAGCGGGGAGGCTCCTCAAACCCACTCCTTTGCTATAAGCCACAACCCCACCCATCGGCTCCATATGTGCATCAGCGATCAGCTCCAACCATGGAGGAGGGACACAAAGCCCCCCACTCTGTGGTGCAACTCTTGGGTTTAGGGAGCCCACCTGGCTGTGACGGGTGTCCCTGTGAGAGCTGAAATCCGTGACTCGAACATGGGGAACAGCGGGTAATCTAGTGCACATCACCAGGCCTCCGCGTGGGGCCACACGATGTGGAGGACCCACCTGTGCCCACACACGCACCTTCACCTTGCCCGTGCTCTGCAGAATGTGCACCAGGGCCGATGCCATTTCCTCCTTGGTCTTGGCGCTGAGGATGGGCTCGAGGGCCGCACAGAGCCCCAGGTAGTGGTTGGTGATGTGCTCGGCAAACTCCTTGTACATCTCCATGGGCAGGATAGTGATGGTCTGGTAGCGCGCCTTGATGCGGATCATGGGCCCAGGGCCCTTGCCGCCCTTGGGGTTGGGTGTCACCACCGGGTACCACTTCTCCACGAACTGCCGCCCAGCCACGGAGGCAGCCGGCAGGCTCACCAGGCCCAGGTAACTGTTGCGCTCCTTCTTCTTCTTCTTGTCCGTCTCCCGGTACAGGTGGACGGTGACGGTGCGCAGGGGCGGCAGGTTGTGGAACTCAAAGTGCTCCCCCCAGAAGACATTGTCGGTCTTGAGCTTGCCCGTAGTGCGGGCGTAGAGCACATCGTCCAGGCACAGCTCACACAGGTACTTCTTCTTGGCCGGCAGGTCCTTGGCCTCGATGACCCACAGCTTCAGGATGTGCTCCACACGCCGGCTGTTGTCCTGCACACGCACAAGGGGGCCGCGCTCACCGTGGGGGCCGCGGAGAGCTCTCAGACCCAGGAGGGGCCTGGCCCCAACACGGGATCGGGAGGAGGCAGGGACAGCTCTGGAGCCTGGTGGACAAGGGGCCGGGTCTCTGCTCTGCCTTGTACTAGCCCACTGACCTTAAGCCTGTGACTTAACCCAAGCCTCGGGTCCCTTTTCTGTGAAATGGGAACAAAACAGAGTGACAGACCAAGTAAGAGGTTGGCACAAGGCCTGGCACACAGCAGGCGACTGTGCCATTTACCAGCTCTTCTGCATTTGCCGGTCTGTAAAGTCACTTAGAGATGACCGCTGCTAAGGCCCCTTCCTTACTGAGGTCAAGGCAGCCAGGACTCAGCCCAGGCCCTGAAGGCAGCCATGGAGGCAGGCACGGAAGCAGCCAATTACAGGAGGGGATCTGTGAACTTGATGGGAGAAGCTGGGGGCCCACCAGCCTAGGCCAGTGGTGCTCCTCTGAAGGAGACGGCTGTCCAAGCTAGAATCGGGTGCATACAGAACGAGCCTGGGGGTGGGGGGGGGGATGGGGACATGAATTCCAGGCAGCAGGGCACCAGCACCCAAGTCCGTAATAGCCCCATACTCCATCCTCTGGCCCAGCCTCGTCAGTGCGCAGCTTTGAGGACGGAGGCCCACGGCCTGAGTAAACCTGGCCACCTAGAGCTCCTCCTTCAGGGCCCAGCACCACTGCCCACTGGGGCGCTGCTTCCACCCCCCCAACGCGGCCTACACCAGAGATCCCTACCTCTATCCCTCTTGCCAGAGTCTACGTCTGCTCTGGGTCCAGGCTTACCTTGTTGGGGTGTACCGCTCGCCGGAGGTTCTCCATCCACTTATCCCGCTCAGCTGCCGATCGGCAGGAGAAGCACTTGCTTCCCGACGACGTCGTCACCTGGGGGGATGGGCAGGATAGTCACAGAGGAGGGGAACACAGCAAGGCTGCTATGACAGAAGACCTCTGGGCCTTGGGGGACTTCAGCTGCCAAGTCTGCGCCACAGCCACAGGGAGGGGGCAGAACAAGGCTCACAATGACCGCATTTGCAGGTGACGCACTGAGACCCGAGGTCCCCAAGCAAGTCAACAACAGTAGGACAGCCCATGCCTGTACCAGCTGGTGCCTGGCTCCCTACCCCTGCCTCAGCACCCCTGTCCACAGGAAAGCATCTTTCTGGCTCCAATCTCACTCTCCTAGAGATGGGAGGAGAGAAGGGGAGGGGCTCCCTGCCCAGGTCAGAAGGCAATGCTTACCCAGAACCTCCCTCTACAGGTAGAACCACAGGCACCAAGGAGACAACCATGGGTAAGCACAAAGGATCACCTCAGTCCTCAGCTGACACCTTCTGACGGTTCTTTTGCTAAGTGGCAATGACAACAGTGATGGTCACAGAAACTTAACATTTTGGAGGCCACACTGGAGAAATAAGAATTGGGCTATCTAGGCCTGCGGGGCCCTGGGGTCCTCCTGTCTGACTGTTGCTCATCCTTCGGTCTCCTCCAGGTGAGGGAACCTGACCCAATCAGCTCCTACTCTGTTCCTGCTGTCCCCAGCACAAGGCCAAGGGCTCTACAGGGGGAAAGCAGACTCCTTATCCAGCCACTCAAGGGCATGCACAAAACAGCACCCCCAGCTGTGGACAAGTGGACAAGCATCATCTTCAGCCCGTCCCAGGCAAAGAAGTCAGAGCCTGGCTGGACCAGGAGTCTTGAACCAGAAATGGCACCCAGCGGGCACAGGGTATGGGGCAGGTGCCAAGGCCCCACTCCATTCTTTCCTCAGGGCAGGGGTGCCTGGAGGTTGTCCCTGAGTAGCTGATTTTCATTACCAGGCTCATTCCTCTATCAGAGAGCTCCCCTAATCATGCAAGATTGTTGGGGGTGGGAAGCTTCCCAGAAACAAAGGTGGGAAGAGAATATGAATAATTGGAAAAGCGAAAAGAACGCCCAGGAACACCTGCAACATTAGCTACCCTGGTCCTGGTATGGCCTCGGGCTTGATGTGTGGCTGCTGACATCTTCTTGACCACTCTGGGCCTTGGCTTCCCCATCTACAGTGAGGGACTGGGCAGGTCACAGCCTTGTACATCCTATACAGGTTGGGTGGCTGTCCCTCTGCTTTCAAACCTTGGGTCACAGAAAGCTAGGGCAGGAAAGGTTCTGCCTCTCATTATGCAGAAAGGGAGACAGGCCCAAAAAAGGGGGTACTCTCCACTACCCCACAATGTATTTGAGGAGTTTCTGAGGAGCGAGCAGGCTCTGGGGCTTAAGCAATTCTATACAGGTTTTCACTCCCTTCACCCACTGGGGCCTTGTGCCCCTGCACACGGAAGACAGTGCTGGTCCATTTTCAAGGAGCTCACGGAGCAGGAACAAAGTCCCCCATCTCCCACCTCCACCTGGTTTCTTAGGAGCCAAAAGCTATGAGCAGATTCCAGCCTTGCCCCAAAGAACCTGGCCCCCACTGAGGCCACAGAGCACTCCAGAGGGGTGTCTGGATGCGACCCGGACTCACCAGGAGACGACACAGCGCCCCGACCCACCCCCGCAGCGGGGCTCACCTCGAAGCAGTAGTCCTGGCCCAAGATGCTGCTGTGCACGGGCTTGATGACCACCTCCTCCTCCATGCTGAGGTCCAGCGCTTCTACCGCACTGCTGGGGCTGAGCAGGGACTCGTGGGAGCGAGACTCCTTCAGCCTGGGCATCAGATGGGACCTGGGGGTGGGTGGTTCTTGTGTCAGGCCCAGCCTGCCACTCCCCTCCCTTCCCCCTTCTCCAGGAGGCCTGTCCAGACCTCCCAGCTAGAGGCAATCATTCCTCCCAAGAAGGGGGCATTACAATACTGGAGTTATAGGGACCCGCCAGGCGCTCTTCCCCACTGAGGGACTCTGGGGAAGTGGCTCAGCCTCTAAGGAAGCAAACGGCTGAGGATGAGGCCACCACTCAGGAGCTGAACATCAGCAATGAGCTCAGGGTAGGGTCCTGGCCTTGGAGACCCACAGGACCCAAGCAACCTTCCCCACCTCCTTTCCTTGGTCCTGGTCTTCCCGCAAGACCAAAGTAGTCACCCATTTGTCCAGAACGTCACTGTCAACAGAGCCCTTTCTCATACAGCATCACAGTCCGCCCGCCAGCCCCGCTCAGGGCAGGAGAACCACAGGGACTTCTGCTGCTCCCCTCCTACACATGAGGACCTGAGGCTCAAACCGAAGAGGACGCAGCAGTCTCTGCACGGTACCTGAGACACCGAGACTCAGGGCCCATGTGCTGGAGCTTGGGGGCCAAGGCCAGGGTCAGTGGGCCCGATGCAGGTACAAAGAGCAGAGGTAGTGGGCCACCTGGTGCCCAATGGAGCCCAGACCAGGCTGGGCTCTGACAGACCTGGCCTTGGACTGGGCCCACCGCTCACTTGCTGTGTGGCCCTGAGCAAGTCACTTCCCCTCTCTGAGCCTCGGTCTCCTCAGCGTATCACGTGGAAAGCACCTCAGATGGCACCTGCACCAGAGCTTGGTGGAGTCCTTCTGAGAGAGGTGAATATCCCTTCCAGAGCCAACGACACATAGCAGTGCCCCACGAAGCTCCCTCCCACAGCTGGGACCTGAGGACTAGCATGCCTACTAAGCCCTCCCCTGGCATGGAAGCTGGGCAGGCCTTGCCCCTACTCTTGCCCACAGCCCAAACCCCTGGAGCTGGCACAGAACCCATCCTGGCTTTAGCCCACCTAGACCTCCTTCCCCCAACACCTTCTGCCTTTCAGCTCCTGGCCTCTAATGGCCCAGGTTCGAGCTATCACTCTCTCCCTGTCTCAGTAAAGACCCCACCTCAGGCAGGAAGATCTGGCGGGGTCACCAAACACTTCCTGCAGGGCACAACCCTGTAGCTCATATCTCCATGATCACTGGAGGTAAGGGGGAGCTGAGGCCCACTACGTGGGGGCTCAGGAATCCAGAGATGAGCCAACAGGCCCTGCCCAGAGGCCCTCACAGGCTGCAGGAGGCCACCCTCCACACCTCTGACTCTACATGTCCATGGCAACAGCCCTCTCTAACATGGAGTCCTGTGCCAGGCACTCCATGGGAGTCAGAGCTGGAAGTAGGACCCCAGCCCTTGGGAACCCCGTAGCCTGACCCAAGAGACCCAGTGAGCCTCCCCACAACTGCTCCCCCATGGCCAGTATGAAGCTGGCGCAGGGTAAGGCTCCGATCACTCAAGCTGAATGGGTGCGTTCAGGTAGGACTCCTGGGAGCTCAAGGGGAATACACAGACCAGAGGGAAGCTGTGAGGCAGGCTGAGGTCAGCTTAGAGCCAAGCCAAACCCCCAAACTCACATGTAGAGCTTAGTGAGGCTCAAGCCTACCGGCACACACAGCACCCCGCCCCCGAAGGCAGCTTTCACCAACATGCACTGTGGCCTACTGCACCACTCAGCCCTGGGTGCCAATAGGCACCTTCCCTTAACAAGGTCCCCAGGCCCTGCTCCAGTGGCCCATTCTCCATCCCCATCACAGCACTGGCCTAGGCTGTGGGGAGGTTTGTAATCCCCTCAGCTGCAATATGCCACTCCAGGCCGCCCACCACATGGGGCAAATGCCAGGCTTCCCTCCCAGGATGGGGCTTCATTCCTCAATGCAAGAGAGGCCCTGCCCCAGCTGCTAGAAAAGTCACCCCACCTAGGAAGGGCTGGGACCCACAGCCCCCTATGCTTGCTGTCTAGGACTGAAAACCCAGCCGGCAGGCCAGGATCAGGCTGCTTTCTGGCCCAGCCTGGAAACCCCTGCCAGGTAAGGATGCTAGGAATGGCAGGGTAGGGACCGAGGAAGTGCAAAGGGAGGAGCTGATGTGCTGGGGCCACCCCCTGTCTGGAGCACCTGGGAGAGGAAAGGGAGGCATGGTTCAGCAGACTGGTCCTGCACGGGGAGACTAGGGGGCTCTGGTTTTACAGCCCGCGAGCCCCGCAGGTCCAGGTCAGACCGGAAAGCAGCAAGAGCCTGGAACCTACGGCTGCAGAACCCTCCTCTTCCTTCCTCACCATCCTGCTCCATAAACATGCCCCAGCTGGCCCAGGCCTCCCCGGGAAGGTTCCTGGCTAAACAGAGGGCCGTGGGGAAACTCACAGCTAAGGCATCCTGGCTACAGCTGGGCACCTGTGACCCTCCCAACCTCTCGTGGGCTTCTCCAGGCTGGGGGACCCGGAGCAGAGGCTGCACCCCCATGCCCCTAAGCTCACTGGGAGAAGTCGGGGGAGGCGGCACCCGGGCCAGCCATTAGCTACTCCAAGGTCTGCCGGGCTGTTTCTGCACAGTAGAGGGCCCGGCTCAAAGCGCTGCCCCGTCGGGTGGGGGCAGGGCCAGAGGGCCTGGGCTCCCTGATTCACATGCAGACACATATCCTTCCCACTCAGCCTGGAGTCCACCTGTTCACCCCCTCCCCAAAAGGTTCCTGGCCAGACAGAAAAGGGGCACAAGAGGCCCCAAGGGAGCTGTTCTGCTGTCACCCTGCCAGGGTGAAAGCTCCTGGCAGAGGCTGAATGTGCCCCTGGTGGTGGCTGATAACATGACTAGGGGTCCGGAAGGAAAAATGGTCACTTGGTCACTAAGTAGCCTAAGAACCACCTCCTCCAGGAAGCCAGCCCTGTCCTGAGCCTGCAGGACCCCCTAATACTCCACACCAGCCCGCCCCATCAATTAAAGTAGGCCTTCACCCAGCCCTGCCTTTGCCTCAGGACAGCATTTTAGGGCAGCATTTTGCCCACCTACAGGCTGGGCAAAAAGCCCAACAAGGCAGGGAGGGAGGGTGGAGGGCACTGCAGACTGCCCAGGCTCCAAGGGCGCAGCAAGTGGGCTCAGTCTCCCTACCTAGGAAGCTCAGTAAAAGGAGGTGACCAGGTGCCGGCTGCCGCCTTGCTCCCACCCCACTCCCAGAAGGTGCTCCGCTCATAAGCACCCTCTCCATTTGGCGCAGGACACCCAGCTGCTCCCTTTCATGTCCCTTTTACCAGGAATATTCATCTACCCATTTTACAGAAAGGTAAGGGGCTCAGGGACCTGATGCCATTGTACACAGGGTCTCTGTGACCCCTGACCCCTGCATCAGGTCCCTCCCTGCCACTCCATGGCTGGGGTAAGAGAGAAAGTGGCCCAACACTCCCACTGCAAGGCCTCCTGCAATGCCCGGATGTGGCTCACGATGGCTTACCCTGATGACCTCCTGTGGCCCCTGGAGACAAGAGCCACCACACCAAGGGGGGCAAAGGGCTTCACAATGCTGCAGCCCAGTCCGAGCTCATTCTCACAGCAACCCCGCCAGGGACGCCATGGGACTGCGCCGGGCTCAGACCTCAAACAGGACTGCGGGCTCCATGCCCCTGGCCCTCCTCACCAGAGCAGAGCTGGTGGCCGTGCCCACAGGAAATGTCACATATATCCTTTCGCTGAATCCTCACAAGGCCAAGAGGCAGATACTGAGCTCACCCCCACTTCACAGGGGAAAGACAAGCCTGCTCCAAGAGGGCAGGCCCAGGGGCTGGTCTTCCTCCTAGTGTCACCTCCATACCTCAACTCCCTGGGGGCCACTTCCTTATCTGAAAAAGAAGGGTCTTGCTTCAGACAAAATTCGACAGTAATGAGCATACACTGAAGAAGTGCTGTAAAGAGGATTTTCAGAGAGAGGCATTTCTCAGGCCCTGGAGCCCAGAGAAGGGGTTTCTGGTCAGGAATGCATGGGATTCAGTACCAGCCCTGCTTGCTGGGGTCCATCTGTCTGTTCTACCTCACCCTGACTGCTCTTCCCCAGGGCTCACAGCTCCCTCAGGCAGGCCTCCAGGCATATGCCATCCCCTCATCCTATCCAACCTTCAACACTCAGCATCAGCAACACCCTCCTCCATGAAGCCTTCCCGGACTCCCTGGAGACAGCAACCTTGCAAGTGGTCCCAGCAGCCTGACAGTCATCAGGCTATGCTGGGAAGGTCAGCCACACACCATCTTTCTGCTGGTGGGTAGGGCTGGGTCTGGCTCAGAACCAAGATTCAGGGACCGCAGGGTTCCTAGCCCAAAGCCCCAGTATTCCAGCAGCCAAGGTCAGCTAATCCCTGGGAGGGGGAGTTCAGCTGGGATGGGGGCAATCCTCCCTGAGCCCTCAACCCTGGTGACTGCGAAAAGGGACAAAGACAACCCAAGCATTGGTCATCACGGCAGTTGTCTGCTCAAGGTCAGGTCCCAAGAGCAGCACCCAGTGCTCACCCAGAATCTGAGAAATGCCCCTGCTCTGGCTCTGTCCAGTTATGGGGAGCTCCCTTCATGTCTCCCAAGGCCAGGTGGCTCACTGTACCCTCCATGGCTGTACCCCCCCCACCACTGTCCCATCCCTCTGACACATCCCTGAGTCCTAGACACAACTGACTGTCTAGACCCTCAACAGATCCCAAGGACTAGAAGCCCTGTGTCCCCTGCCCAAGTGAGGATATCTGCTCACGCCTGTACCTCCATGGCATGGAATCCTCATACTTCCTGGGAAAGGGATGGTGCCATGGTTCCCAGGTCACAGATGGAAGTGCCAAGGCCACAGGGTAGGGAGACCTGCCCTGGACTCCTCTGCTCCAGAGAGCAGTCTTGGCCAGGGCCTGGGGGGCAGTGCAGTAGGGCCTCCTCAACAGCCTTCTCCATCTGACCACAATACCATCGTTCTAGATGGGCCCCTCTACCCAACATGGTGTT